TAAATATCAAAGTGAACTAACACATACATTTTTATTTGCTATAATTCATTTTCATTTCAAATGAGCATTGTTGGTTTTTTTGAAAGAGATAAAATACGTATCTTAATGTGAATTTCACGTGATTTATTAGTTATGCGTTATATAAACATTTTACTTTATCAATTAAAAAAGAGACTTCCTAGCCAGTTAAAATAACCACGCGGGGTGCCTGCTAAACCTAAAACTTTGTAATGTACATCCTATGTTTTATTTGCTACAAATGCCTAATTTTTTCACTTTTTGATAGGCATGAGTTAATAATTTCAATGGAGTATAAGGAGCTACTTATCTCTGTTTATCTATGTCTCTCTGATTAAAAAAACAAAAAGTTTCTTTATTTAACTGCCTCAAAACTTTTAAAAGCATATGACATTCTCCAGGGGAATACGTTTTAGACACACCACTTACAAGTGCAAAGATTTGAGTTCACACACGCACGCACACGCACGCACACACACACACACACACACCCACGCACAGAGAGTTTTTGACAAAACATGTCTCTACAGTAAAACTATGAAAAATTAGGACATTGTAGCGCATCACTAGCGCAATACTCCTAATTTGTTGAAGTGCCATGTAAATGGTACTTATAAGTCATAAAGAACTATTATTCTTAATACAAACTATATTGTACCAGTTTCAGTGACCTCAACAGCTGTTTTATCGAAAATAATTTAAGGATTGATATAGATCCATTTGCTTGTATTCCTAGTAAAATACCTTTTGCTAAAATGATGACAAAATATATCAAACTGTCCCTTTCTCACATATTATTCCAGATAATAAATTACCCTTTTTCAGTGATTTTCATACTACTTAACTGTTTACCCAATGAATAACATTAATTTTCGGAAAATCTCCAGATTCGATTTTGTACAAGTTTTATAAAAGCAGGCCTAACGCAATCAATATGTCCGTGATGTTTCTGCGTGAGATTTAATGACTGAATATGGAGAATGAAACATATATATAGTTAATAGCTATATAATCGTGAAAGATAGTTACTGCGGATGATTATGTGATTGATATTCCAATATATTCGAGTTCTGTAAAAAAACGAAAAAGGAATGGTAAATAATTCAAATAAAGAGTTGTGGGAAAATATAATTAAGAAAAAAATACAACGTTAATATGAACTCAGTTTATTTAAATGCAATATTAACACAAAAAATAATATAATATTTCTCGAATCTACATCTAGACTTATCTAATCGATCTTAACACAATGAAAAAGAAAATACGATAACTGCAAATAATCTACAAACGTTTAATGTCTGAAAAAAATGTTAAGAAAACACTGAAACACATATCTTAAACAGAAAATTAACACAAGTACAAAAATGTCTACTATATCAGAACCGGAAATTAAAGTCCTTCTAAAACGGGAAGAAGATTAATTGTTCAACTTGCAACAAATAAGCAAACCTAATTAATAAAATTAAGATTTTCAAGGTCACTCCTTTGCTCAGCATTACTTATACAAAAGTAAAACAAATAAAGAAAATTATCTTCTATTTAAACAAAATATTATAATATAGAAAATCTTCGAAAAAATGCAATATTATTCTTTTCGGTGATTTTATCATTTTGAGTAAATGTTTAGTACTAATTGATACTTAATCAAAATCAGCTTTCCCTTTATTATTAAAAAAAGGGATTCAGAGTTTCCGCAATTCTTACTGAGCATAAACTGTATATTTCTACTTTCTCGGTCATTTATCAATTACTAAATAAAAGAAGTATTTAGTTTAGTAAAAAAAAATCTAGTGTGTAACCTTTATCACTCTTTTTATCTCACTACTATTCAACGTTTTAAAAAGGTTCTTTGCAAGACACTATATTAAAGAAAACAAAGATCAATGTAACATTATACTTAAAGTCGTGCATTTTGTCTTATATACTGTATGGGAAAGCTACATCAGTTTTAACAGGAAAAGGTAAATGGAAAAAACATTGATAAGGCAACAATGTAAGCTTTGATGTTCTAAATAATAAAACATTATTAAATCCAAATCTGAATCTAGAAATATTCAAGTAGCAATTTTTTCAAATCGTTTATAAATATTCATGTCGATGTAAGTTATAATAAAATATTACGAAAACACTTGAAGTTAAAAGCGAAACATACTTTTTGTCAACAGCAAGAACAAACCATAATGTTATCACGTTAGCACAGAAAGGAAAACATACAAAGTAATATAACTCAAACAGCAACAACCTAAAACATTTTTTAAAAAAGTTTAGATATTTGCACATGTAATAAATGCCATTAAGCCATAAAGGTAAGCTAAAAACAAAAGAATCACAAGGAAATTCGTTGACTCGAGATTTGAATGATACATATCATTTGACTGAAACTTTTGAATATAATGTACCTCATATTATTATTATAAAATAATTTCACACATAGTTTAACACATATTATGGTCATATATTAGCGATTGATCCATCTATCAGGTTTACCTGGATGACAAATATTTTTTCACCAATTTCTCCGAATGTGGCCGACTACTAATCCAAGACACGATTTTTGAATAAGTGACCTAAGACTCGATGTCTATTGGCCTATCGTCGCTTGAAAACTGTAATGTTCTATCTCCAAATTTTCAAATACACAATACACAATGGACTGTTCTATCTCCTTGGCATGTTATATTAGTGCTTTCGAGCTTCCTAAATGAATTACAACAAAACCATCCTGTTCTAACTCCAAAAATTCAGTATGTGTTGATTAATAGACTGTTCTAACTTATTGGACCAATCATTTCATCGATAAATGTGACGTGGCCTAAGGGGGCATATGCAACAAGCTGTTCTTAATCCAAAGAACCGTATCAATACTTATAGCAATGTTATTAAGATTTAAATCACGTGATGGCAGACCACCCGCCATGTTGTAAGAAACATTTTGAGCTAGCTGGTTATACAACGTTTGTTGATCATTTCATATATTAATACTAAAAGCAAGTGTATTGAATGATATTATGTATTCATAAAATTTACTCCAATCATTGACATTTTATTCTAAAGTCCTATGAATAAACTGCATGTGATTAAAAAGCAAATAAAAACTATCATGATTGGCAAGTAATTTCGGATGTGTATTTTCGGATAGAAACAACTGTGATCATACAATTGCAACAAACAAATTCGTAAATAGGAAATGTTAATATGTTCTAAAGTTTCTTTAATTTAAGGCACACAATGTCTCAGAAACCATTTTTTTTCTTTAAAACAGGCAAAAATGAGTTTAGAAATTGTTAGTAATAACAAACAGCATGCTGGATGGTTTTCGCATGAATTATACGTATGATGTTAAATTCTTTTTATAATAAAAGTAGCAAAATGTCAACAAAGTAGTATTTTGACTTCCATTCAAAATACTTAATGACTGTAACTGTACTAATTTCGTATTAGAAACAAAAGCATAAGATTGTTTAGGTTACTGGCCAATGTGGAACTTTTTGAGAAACTATAACAGAACTCCAAATATTCAGCTTTTGAGAGATAAAGATAAAAGCATTTCAGGGGCTAAACGGGCCCGTAAGAAAAATCATAGATATGCGTTTATATTAAATTTATGTTTTAGAATGCATAAATGGTTATAACTAATAGATTACTTTAAAGTAAAAACATTGTATACCAGTCAGAAGGTAGAAAAATATTCTTATACGTATATTTAGTTTGTCTTAATTTGTCTTTGAATTTCTGAATGTTAATTTATATGACATTATGTTTGTAATGTTTTGCAAACGGAAAATCTTTAAATATGACATTTTTCAAATATAAGTCATGCCTTCTTCTACCGTTAATGTCTTTTCCATCGCAGATGTGTTTTCATTGCCTACTTAAGTAAAAGCCACAATTTTATTTTTCATACCTACAATTAAAAGAACTTTATACGAACACAAATTAAACAGAACGTGAAAAGCGTTTTACAACATAATCTCTACTATTTCAAACTTTCGGAAGCAATTTGAATTTCACCATCATTTGAATTTCGTGAAAAAAAATCTCGAAAGATTTTTCCAGCATTCTAGAGGATTTGAAAATTTTCAATTCCCGTTTGTGGCTACAGCTTTCTTTTTCTAGACATTAAATCAATTTGAAAGTATTGAATTGTAATCATGGCTAAATTATAAAAATAGATACAAATATCTACAAAATTTATGTGGGTATGTTATCTTTATTTATTTATATTATGGTTTGAATGTCATTTGATAATTTACTGGATCAAAGGATTTTAATAAAATTTCAAATGTCATAGATGCATATGGTTTACGAAGTAGTGTGGTATCAAAGATAATCAAGGGATAATTAGCCGAGAAAATTTTTGGTAGCCTTTTAAAGATAAAACATACTATTTTAAGTGACATAAATCAATTCAACTTAAAAGACATAATGTTCTAAGTCTCATTGAACACTTTGATTTTAACAATTTTTGCAAAAAGTCTATCCTCAAATGTTTTCTTATATTTTTAAGCAAGAAAATATTAAAATCCACATATCCTTAACGATATTGAGTTGTTCTCCCGATATCAAGTTTAGTAGTTTTAAATTTAAAAAATCCGACATTAGATAAAAAAGTTATGCAATTCTAAATCTTTGCATGCTTTTTTCTCAAAAACGACAAAATGGCGCTTAGAACAAAACGTCTTTCAAGCGACGCTATTTTTGAATCTTTGTTTTTGGTAAAGATTCAAGAAAATATGCCTTACGTTTTAACTTATACCTGACTCAAAAAGATAAGGATATAAAATACTAAAATGCGGTAACTAACATTTAACAAATAAATAAATAAATTATATGCCGTACACATTACATTTATATACAATTTATTCCTAAATCTCTTGGAAAAATTCAGTAAGTTTAAAAAGATATGTTGCAGAAACAAGACAAAACAAAAAGCACAAACAAAAACAAGGTTCAAAAGTTATACCTGAATAACAAAAACATCATTGTCTTTTGAAAATGTAAATACTTATCATATATAGTACATGTAGGATATTTTTTCAACAATAATATACTTTGTAATTGCTAATGATAAAAATATAAATTTGTACATTTTTCGCGTCTTTTTCCCCCAATTAATGCGCTTTTTATTGAAACCGTTCACTGTTCTTTTTCGGAAATACTCGCTTATAAGGCGGCAGAAGAGCCGTGGCATATCGTGGGCAATCTATGGGAAAATCTTTGTCAGGAGGGTCCAATGGAGGTAGTGGAGTAGATTGTGGTGGATTGGATTGTGGTGGATTTTCTGTATGAGGACGAGATATGCTCCTCTTTGGCATCGGTACTTTTTGCATCGGTACGATCGGCGTTGGCGGATCTGGATCATTTTTATCATTTGATGTACCTTTGTCGTCAGGTGCTTCTGTAAAGGGTGCTTCTGTAAAGACAGTACTATCATTTAATTTATTGTTTTTAAAAGTTGCATCAAACGTTTCTTCCTCGGCGATTTTTATGGGTTTATTTAGATTTTTTTTTTCATGTGGATCTTGCGGGGCATTTGTAATTCCAGAAATAACGTATGCTTGCGACACTAGACCAGTTGCAAGGAGGCTACCTCCACCTATCTTAAAGCTGAATTTCCAGTCTTGTTCTCCGTCTGCAGTAGGTAACCAATCTGCAATTAAATTATATAAATATTAGGTATCAATGGACAATCGCGTCTACAATCAAATTTGATAGCACAAAAATCTTAGGAATATAATTTTGTACTCTTCAGATTTTGGTTCAAAACTATTTAGGTCATGTGTTAGATAATTATCATTTTATATTTGCTTACAAATCAGAAATGAAAATACTTTTCAAAAACTTAATATGAAAATCAAACTTACGCTCTACAGTTGCCGCTAATATTCCTCCTAATCCATTGAACATATGTACAAGTCCCTCTGTGATCCGAATATTTGAACGTCCAAGCACATCAGGCATTGACTCAGTCCTTATGTTTTCAGCTAAAACTTACAAAACATAACAATGACAATAAGAACAAAATAAGAATCAATTTTGCAATGCAAAATAGGACAATTTATTTCAGTATATATAAACAAACAAACATAGTCATGGTTTCAATTCTTTCATTTTCATATAAAATTTTATAAATATGAGTATATAATGATAATTACAATTAAAAAACAATGAACAATGTAATACAAAAGATTAATCAGATGAATTGTTTGTGCATGAATAAGATTAGTTCATTTTAATCAAGTGATTTATTCATTATTTTCATGTCACGATATTAGATAAGTATGAAATTTGAATGTTATAAACACAGATGGTGACATTATGTTTTGATTGTTACAAATTAATTGTTAAATACATAAAAGAAAGATCTACACTTATCTCGAACTTTATGGATACTATGTAATAGATGCTTACACTGTATCTTCCGAGATTGCAAATATAATTTATACATTAATTATTTGTTACCCTGGTATTATATTTTGGAACATAGAATCTCTTTAAAAAACAACTTGTGAATTGAATAGTTAATGAATGATAACCATTAATCATTAAAAAGGTAATATTTGCAGTCACCTTGCTATGTAATTAGTAATTTATTTATGCATACATGTAATTGTGTATATTATGAAAGTTTGTATATGAAAATCACACAAAAAAACGAGTATATTTCCAGATAATCTTTTGGAAGCCTTTCCATTCCCCAGTGTATCTATGTAAGCAGTCAAATTATATATTTTATGCTTTTGAACCTCAGTCGAGCTCTTTGATATTGAAAAAGAGCATCAACATGTTTTAATATGAATCAGATATAATATACATATAAAACTTCCTCATAATCCGCAATGCTTTTAAAGGGGACTGATGAAAAAATGTGATGAATTTAAAATATCCAACACAGTTTTCCTTACAGACAAACAGCTACTGAACATATTCAGAGTCTATGGCGTTTTTAGAGATATTTGAGCACTTTGTATATGGCTTGATGGATATGGCAATTGATTTCATAAAAAATTATCAGTATTTTTGTATAATGTATAATTATCAACAATTAATCAGACATGGCACCTTCGTTTATATCATTCGGACTTATTGTTTAAGCCGTTACATGACATGAAGTTGAAATAACAATGAACATATATATTTGACGCACGACGCGAAAAAACCGGTCTAAATGATTTTTTTTTCGAAATTTGGTTTTATCTCATTTTTGTAGAGATTTTCTTTCTGAATAAGAAAGTGAAAACTATTTCAAAATTTCAGAACTCAATTCGTGTACACACATGGCAATATGAGCTATAGCATATAAGCATACATTACTTAAAGATGCATGTCATACACATGACAATAATTATATTAATACAATTCACTTTAACGAAAAGGAGAGAGACACACATTTTCAAGGACATGATAAGCAAATGTGTAGAAATGTTATCTTTTCTCAAATTTTGTGATTATTTCCTTAACAAATAAACAAAATTTCTGTATTCATTACAATGAGTTATATTCATATTTATTATATATTTAAAAGTTAATATATTTTGGATGTCTTGCATAATAACGACCTTACATTCTTTTTCTTAGTACAGATAACTTGTTGCATTCAAAGAGATTGTGGAATTCATATCCAATACTTCCGGAGCTGTTACAAAGTGTACATTTACGTAAATTTAAATCTATACCATTCCAACTTCTGGTTTCTACAGAAAGTCTGCTGCTTCTTGTTACATATCTTAGTAAGTCTTTTTGTTGCATTTTTTAAATAGGGTTCGAAATGGAATTTTGTTTAAATAATTTGTAATTTTTACATAAACTCGATTCGTAAAGTCATTTAGAAATTAACTATTTTTGCTTCACATTAGCAACTAACCGCTTATGATTAGGAAACATCTTTACATTGGGGTTTCCACATTTGACAAGTATATTTAATATGCTTAAAGCACAGCAATGTCTGTCTATTAACATTACTACTTGTATTATATGGTTTAGGGCAATTTGATAAAATGCGCTAGATAGTTTAATTCATTACATACAACTAGATATATCAATATCAATAGAAATTGCAAAGGTATATATTAATAAAATTGGTTTAACAAGTTTGTCAAACAAATCTTTTTGCATATCCAAAGGTAATTGCAGTTTTTTCAAATTTATTTACTTTTTAAGAATACACGGCTTTCATTGCTTGATTAGCTATATAAGTCTTTGCTTTAAATAAACTACCACTTCTATTAAATAATACTCCTAGGTATTTGAATTCCTCAACAACTTCTAGATTTTCATTACCATACGTAAAACTATACTGCGTTCACCTACCTTTTGAAAATACAAGAACTTTAGTTTTAGATGTATTTACTGTTTTTTTTAGTTGTCACAGTAACTTTTATATAGGATAATAGCAATTTGTAAATCGTTTGCTGACTTAGATGAAATAACAGTGTCGTCAGCATTTAGAATAATAAACAATTTCACAATACCAAGTACTTCATCAGTAAATGTTACACCTTCTATACTATTACTTTTTGCAAAATAATCATGAAAAATCATTCAAATAAAAGAAAAAAGCAATGGCGATAGATAAGTAATAAAGTTATGTAAATAAGAGACTTCTCGCTAATTGTGACTATTAGCGTTGCTTAGCAACGTAATAACAACACGAACTAGCGTGTCATGCACGGCTAATCATTTGTATTTCAATCATTACCATGCTAAATATCTTCAATCTGGACACAACCATTCATCATCTTTACGGTAATTTTTCAAAATATGTACTGACTGAAAAGCAAATATTGCAGACCACGATCAGAAGGCACAGACGTGTCGGTTGGTTTTTAGTATGCACTGGTCGCATAGGTTGAATCATCCAGTCAGTTTACAAATTGTGTATATCCAATAAAAAGAAAGAAACAAACAATAGTATATAAGTCTACGTATTTTAACGTTTAATATCTTTACGACTATGAAAAATAAATAGATAGTTAATTTCAAATTCTACGTTTCTTTTTTATTCCTTACAAAATAACAGTGTAGAAAATTGTAAAACAATTCAATAATGCCGTATGATGAACATAGGGACAAGTAGTTTGAATATGTATAAGCACTAAACTGTTATGACAGTGCACCTCAATCACTGATAATAACGCCCCATTAAAGCAAAAAGGTACCAAGCGACATTTTGGCCAAAAATGACTTTTTAACATTTTTCATTATTTTTTAATGTTATCTTTAATCTGTAGAAATATCTCTGTAGTATCATGTTTATTTACAGATATATAAGGTTATGTAAAAAGGTACAATGTCAATATTTTCCCATTTAGTAATGCAAAAAGGTACCATATGCATATCAGTTTGAGCAAAAAGGTACCAAGCGTCACATAGTACCTTATTGCATTGTATGACTTTACAAGTTTTGAGCATTTATTTTAATGCAAAAAGGAACCATGTGTCACACGGTCCCTTTTTGCACACAAAGAATTTACGACCCTTAAGATTATTTTATATACCAAATTGTTTTCTTGGTACCTTTTAGCTTTTTAATGAATAACACAATCTAGATGTTGCTAAGGACATCAAATATAACAAAAAAAACCAGAGTATTGTTTCTGTTTTAAATCGAGGAATGATAACAGTGTGAAGATAATGATAGTGTATAAATGACTTCTTCACAAAACTGTGGACGTAAAAAGAAAAAGTAAAATCTTGCCAACAAGATACATGGGGTATATGGAAGGAGAAGCATGACACGGAAGCGCACATCTGCAAATAAACTAAATTATGATATAGTTTAAATTGGTGAAAACAGCATAAAGAGTAATTTCCTTAAATGAAATCTCATTATACAAGAAAAAAGAGCTGAAAGAAACAATATGTATCTCATGACTATGACTTAAACATTAAAAAATGTGGAAACTGTAAACTATGAAAGTGAAAAGAAGGAAATAAAAACTGTTAAGCAACATACATATAGGAAGGCAGTAGGCACACTAGATGGCAGGATCAAGGAACAATATATTGAAACATCAAAAAAGAAAGAAAATTCACAAGAAGAAAAGATTTAAAGTAAAGTTGGAGCAAAAGGTGAACCATGCGTTTATGTTGCATGTTTTGATCTCAATGCCGTTGTAACAACCCCTTGCTCATTAGTGAGTGAGCTTTACTATTTAAGAAAACTCTGTTGCTACACAACTTGACAGTATATTCCTTATGAGACAAAAATGTTGCAGTCATGTATGGATAAAACCAACGCTGCAAAGAGAGGTGAAATAGCTTCCTGCTTAATAAAAAACCCTTTTCTACTTGCCAAAGTGGTTATGTCAAATAAGTCATATATTTTTCAGATTCATAAAAACAAAAAATTGATTCATAGCTGCGTCTCTTTCTATTATATTATTACAAGTTCCAAGTTTAAGATTGATCACAAATTTCTTGTATCGGGTCACTCACAGATGGAGTGACAACTTGACTCTTGAAGGGGCAAAGAAAAAAATTCCTGTATAATTATGTATCATTCAATTGTGTTCTCTTATATCACTGGCCAGAAAAATCACAGCCATACATTGCTGTGTCAATGAAATATAACCATGTTTTTGATTCCAAATACTTCATTAAAAAACAGTGTCTGAGACTCAAAATTCTGGAAACAAAGTGATCCCTCGGAAGCATTAATCACAACAAAATAACATAAGAATTGCAGATTCGGTTTGATTGAGTCTGTAAATGAGAGATAATGAATAAGTGCAACATCCCTCACGCCCCGTAGCACCGGCTTGAGCGGTACTCAATTCTCAACACTTTATAGTGTTGGCATCAATGATCCCGAAGGACCAGAAAACATAACGACCCTGAAGTGAAGTACATCCATTGACGGACAAAGAGTAAACTGGCTACAAGTGGAATTGATACAGGTACCAAAGGAAAGCCCAAAGTCAGTCATTTGTAAATTTGAGCTCCAATGCTGAAGATGTTATGGAAATAGAAGTTCAGAATACAGAATCTAAAGTATTAGTGGACAAAATTAATGGTGAATAATATATGAAGTTATGATACAAAACCTCCAGTTTCTATTCAAAAGAAAAATGACTTGGTTACTTTGTGTGCAAAGAAAATTATCCAAAATGAGTTCCATAATTATAATGCCACTTAACCAACATAAAAGAAAGAAAAGGATTATGTCACAATGGAATCTGATGAGAATGATTCTGATTTTGACTAACAATGTAAGAGATTTTGACAAAGGCATTGAGATTGAACACAAAGGAAGACTTTCAAAACATTCAGTATGATAGTTGTATCAGACATTTACTGAAAACACAAGAATTTCATATTATTATTTGTATCATTGTAGAATAAAACTGTAACCAAATGATGCTTTTTGTTAATATTGTTTGGGACAAAAAAGGTGCCAACTGCCATATGGTACCCTTTTTGATATATTTCGACAGCAAATGTTAACATTCATATAATGCAAAAAGGGGGCCAAGCGATCATATGGTACCTTCTTGCATTTGTCGGTCAAAATTTTTATTAGTGCAAAAAGGAACCATTTCCTTTAATTGATTAATTATCACTTATTAGTAATATATAAGCTTTCCAACTTTTTGAGCATGTACATTCAAACATTATCTAAATATATGTAAAGTTTCTTTGCCATGTTGTAAAAACCTGATTTGATATGGAACTTCAAATCTTTAAACGCGATTTTCTCGAAAACATGAAAATGTCACTTGGTACCTTTTTGCTTTAATGGGGCGATAAGACCAATTGTCTTGCCACACTTCGCACCAAATATCTATTGCGCTCTGCTGACACCCCCAGGCGTAATAATTCTTGGACGGACACCTGAACTGAACCGGAATCCTGGTTCTTTCGAGACTTGAATCAATTGTTTCTCGCTTTCGGGTGTTATTATTGCCATCGCCGCACCCAGTGTGCCTGACTGGAACCGAATGTGCTGGAATGTTCTGTCAAAAGAAAACGATAAATATTCGTAATGACAACTGTTACAAACGTATTTCCTAATATGCCTCTATAAATAAACAATATTAAATATTATTTAGTGCACATTTGAAAATATATTAGTTAAAAGAATGCAACAACTTGGACAGCTCCGTAAACTTGGTCACGTGACTGATTTTTCACATACTGTTACTGTCAGTTTGTAAAATAATAAAAAAAATTAAGACCATCCTAACATATAAATTTAATTTAATTATAGAAGGAATGATATACAATGTAAAATTCTCATGTACAAATGCTTTACTTGATTTGGCTTAAATGTACTCTTTAATGACCATAAATACTTTCTAATTATACGGTATGGACATATTTTTTATTCATGTTATTATAGAAATGTAAGCAAAGTAAATTTAAGTTACTTGTAAACGATTAATAGAAACAATACACCCTTACACTTTCATGTATATGATATTTTCTCTTTCTGTGGTACCGCAACTTAACAACATTTTCATTTAAACATTTTCATTTGAATGCGATAAACGTAGTTTACCTTATACTTGAAAAATATATAGAAAGGGTTTCCATTGTTGCCATGACCACTGAGGGTAACATACAGCGCTGTTTTTGTAGACGATTTCTCTGTTACATCGGCTAGCTGTTGTAGCGTCTACGGAATTTAATCTTTAGATGTGCAAATCCAACATCAACTTAAAGCCGCGCATGTCCTTAAAAGAAAATTTAAATGATTTTGAAATATGAAAAAGCCTTACCTGCTACGATTAAAAAGAAGAAAATTATATGTGCTTTTTAACAAAATTACAGTGTTTATGATACATATTTTGTCATTGGGAAAATCAGATAAGACTGTTAAAATCAGTTTAGATTGCCGAGTACCTAGAAGTAAGTAATGAAGGTTTCTTGAATGAATCAGTACCTGGTACTTTCATATGATACTCGATCTTTTCATTCTGTGCTGTCATGAAGTGCCACAAACGGTTCTTATTTTAACCTGAAATATAAGATATAGTACAATTAATCCCATGATTGTTATTCACTACTTTATGCCATAGTTATAGGTCTATATGAAATATATTTTTTTCTTAATTTTGAAGAAAATAGTAAGAACAAGTTAAGTAACTGTTATTTTTAATCGTGTACAGACATGCATTACTGGTACTGCACAATTATTTTGCTAGTACTGTATTGGTATAAATGTACTGTCACTGAATTACTCGCATAAAAAATTTGCTGCTATTTGTACTGGTACTGAATAACTGTCTCAAAATGTGGCACTGGTACTGCATTAATAAGGGTTTCATAAAAGATTGAAATAGTAAAGTTTTATCACATAAATTATCTTACTTATCTTTATACTTTTACATTATGAAAACAATGTTGTGGACATTTATATTAAATAGTCTGTATGCAAAATATGGTGAAATGTAAAAGTATTGGTACTTAATTAGTTCCAAAATAAAAGTACTGGTACAATACTGGTATTTGTACTAAAACCGCATGAGCTGACAAGTACTGGTACTGGTATTTAAGTATTATACTCCTGATACTAATGCATTTCCGATTGTGTAAAATGGTAGTTTAGCCATAATAGGTACTATTGCAAAACGTTTGTCCATTATATAATTGTAAACAGTTTGCTAAAAAAAATTACCGAATGTATCGACAAGGCAGGAGTCTGATTAACTTGATTCTGCAATGTCCAGTCTATCATCGACAGCACAGCGTCAGGTCCGTTTGGCCCTTTACGATCTGGACCTATCGTTTGACCTTCGTCAATTAGGAAGCTGGGTTGTTGTACGATGCCATCCAGTTTTACTCCGAAAATCTGGATTTTACGCAGGGTTAAAAAGTATATCAGGCCCATCTGGCGAGAAAAAAGAGGCAAACTGAATTTCTGACTGAAGGGACAAACTTTTCTTCATTGTCACGTGTGGCAACACTACGCACTATACCCTTATTACCTAGTATGAAGAAACAAAAAAAAACAGATCTATAGTTAGACATAAATTAAAGTGACATTATGCCCATCCAAGTATAAATGGTGGATGATAAAGTCAAAGTCAAAACAACTTGAAATATTTCCATAATAGGTTTCAATTTTAGATTATAGATAATAGTCCATGTGCATAATCACTAACCCACATGAATCACAATAAATTCTATAGATATCCTTCGGAATATGTCGTTAATGCTCCGTTTATAAGACTCGGGCAGGCCTTTTATATTTCAGGCCATTTACCATATTTTATCCTTGGCAATTTTCATAATCAACTATTGTTCAATGCCCATTATAATAGTCAATCTTTTTAAATATATAGTCAAATGAACTCAACCAGACAGATTGAGCGTAATGTACCTTGAAGATAGAGGTAAAAACAGCGTATTTGTACCTTATTAAAGCAACGATCTTTATGATAACGGTAAAAAATCACGATATCACCTGAATAGGTAACATATGGTACTAGTAATTGCTTTTTAATTCTTTAGTGTAGGGAGACACAGGCAAAATGTTCATTCCTACGATTTGAATTTTTCTTTCAATATTCTATAAATGTTCTCGAAATGAAAACACTAAGCAGTCAGAGGAACAAAACTTTTCTCTTTATAAAAAATAAAATGTTGGTTTCCCAACTTGACCCACGTGGGTCAGGTTATAGCATTTAGACTTCAAAATAGCTGTTATAGAGAACTATGAAAACGTTAAAGTATCTGTCAAATGAATGACTTATATTTATTTCAATCTTACAATATCCAGAATATCTGTAATTGTTATTTCCAGAGGGTTTTCCAGTTATATGATTTGTTTTAAAACTACTCGGTGACTCTGTCGGCGTCTTAATTTCGTTCAATATATGAAAATATTATTACGCTTCAAACCCAAAATATATAGTATTTATACAGAAATTCATGCTAGGACTTTAGAGAATGTCATTTTAGCATGAATTGAATAAATAACATCAATTTACTATTTTTGTCATTAATTTGTCTTAGTATCCCTTTAATTAATTCTATAAAAATATACTTTATAGATACTTATAGATACTTACTTCAAACTCCTTCTCCATCTTATAAACTTTCCTCAAAATTCCGACGTAGGTAAACTTTAAAAACTTCAATAACGCACGATAAAAAGCATGTCCGTGGTAACATGTGTTTACGCAAGAAGAGTGACGTCATTTATATCGCTGTAGTGCACATTTATTGGCGTGTCATTAAGACCGTTTTTCTCGCGTCGTGCGTCATTTGTTGTCTTTATTATTTTCAGTTTGATGCACTGTCTGTTGATATTATTTTCAATTGTATTATAATTATATTCGTTGATGTCTTCGTAACAAACTCTTTGTATAGGTTTATGGTGGAGCTCGGTTGGAAGCATGTGAAAGAACACAACAAGTATTATATATTTGGATACGAAAGACAAATTATCCCAAAACTCACCTTTTAAAGTAATAAGAACCAGAGTGAAATAGACGTAATAGCCAACTTTCTCGAATGTTACTGCAGAGGAAACTCCGAGGACTGGACTTGCAAAGGAAACAATTGCGAAGGCAAAAACCAAACCTCTTTTCCTATAACTAATTCAAAGACACAACAGTAAACTTTTATAACATTTTCTACTATTATAAGAACATGGATGTGTCTTTCAAAGTGTTAAATTAAAGCGTATATGTTACATGTCTATCTTTCATATAATATTGAAGCTGCATAGTATTAATTGCATGGATAACTGTAACAATTATAAAGAATTCAGCATTCGAAAAGATAAATGTTTGTTTATACAAATTTAGCTTAAGCACGAACAAAAAATGTTCCGGAGTTGTTCAGATAATACATGTTTGCAGTACAAGAAATATACGACAAATGGATTTTCAAACATAGTAAATTATTATCATACAAACACATTTGACATTTGAAATAAATATACCTTCCGAGACAACTGCATTTCTTAAACAATAAGGATAATATCATTCCTGCTAAAGTTCCTATAATAACTGTGAGATCGTCAACGAAAGAATCTGTGGTAGATTGTATATGTCCCTTAATTTCATTGGGGATTTTCGACTTAGAAAATCTTGGAAGTGCAGTTCCTTTAAAAAAATATTATCAATTGTATTAAATGAAATGTTGAAAAAACTTCTTCAAAGATTATAAAAAGGAAATATATAGACAAAATTTAAGAAAAAAAAGAGAAAAAAAACAAATATTGACATGTGTGTGTTTTTATTTATCTCGTGACCACGAGATACTATGTCGTAGCCACGAGTTACTAAGTCGTGGCCACGAGTTACTAAGTCGTGGCCACGAGATAGCTAACTCGTGGTCACGAGATACTATGTCGTGGCCACAAGTTACTAAGTCGTGGCCACGAGATAGCTAACTCGTGGCCACGAGATACTATGTCGTGGCCACAAGTTACTAAGTCGTGGCCGCGAGATAGCTAACTCGTGGCCACGAGATACTATGTCGTGGCCACGAGTTACTAAGTCGTGGCCACGAGTTACTAAGTCGTGGCCACGAGATAGCTAACTCGTGGTCACGAGATACTATGTCGTGGCCACGAGTTACTTAGTCGTGGCCACGAGATAGCTAAGTCGTGGCCACGAGTTACGAAGTCGTGGCCACGAGATAGGTAAATCGTGGCCACGAGATAAATAACCAATCAGATTACACCATTTATGTGAATTTCCCTAATTAACTAGACATGTGCTATAGTACAAGGCTGCCCCTACTTTACCAGCCTGTAAAAGTGTCATTTATGCAACTTATTGACTTGTCCATAATTTTACATTTAGCGTCACTGTGACCCTGATTTTTGACCCAATGACCTCGATATTATTAGATGTCCTCTACTGATCAGGTGCAATGATCTTTCTGGGTTATATAAACCATGGCTTATCCTTTCTAAATTATTCATCAGACAAGGGTTTTACCTTATAGGCTATCTACTGTCCATGGGCAATATCCCTTACAAATAAAATAAACCAGGACTTATTCCTTCTCATGTTATCGTATAAACAAGGTTTACAGGCCGTAGTACGTACAAACTGACCAATTCGATTACAAAATTGTCCCAACAAGAGCTAAAGTCCAAATTAATGTCTGATGGGCCTTGGAAGGTGACTTTCTAATATGATCCTAAAGACAAGTTCAAAATGAATATCTTCAGTATTTTCAAAGATTAATGTTGCATGTAAAAGTAAGTTGTTAAGTTTAAAAAATTCATAATATATACATGTATAGTGTGTTCTGATATGTTAATTATCTCGTGCCCACGACTTAGCTATCTCGTGGCCACGACTTACTAACCCGTGGCCACGACATAGTATCTCGTGGCGCCGAGATAGCTAACTCGTTGCCACGACTTAGTAACTCGTGGCCACGACATAGTATATCGTGGCCACGACATAGTATCTCGTGGCCACTAGTTAGCTATCTCGTGGCCACGACTTAGTAACTCGTGGCCACGACATATTATCTCGTGGCCACGAGTAAGCTATCTCGTGGCCACGACTTAGTAACTCGTGACCACGACATAGTATCTCGTGGCCACGAGATAAATAAAAACACAAACATGTCACCTTTATGCCACCGTAAAATACAGCCAAAACAATGTCATATAAGGTTCTGATTAAATATTAGAATATAATATATCTACATGTATAAACATTATGTACGCTATTGTAAAATATTGCCTTTTTTATAATTTTTAAGAGCGTTTTATTATAAATAATAACTTTTCACTGTACCGAATCTAAAACTAGAAAAAACTCCAAATACTGTCCAAAGCATTTTCTTTTTTAACACTGGAAATTTGTTTAAAACTTTATTTGGGCATGGTATATTACAGTCAGTTTTTGAATTTTCTTCAGCTTCGGTATTTTCCTTGCTTTCTTGAATGGATATATCCTGAAGAAGATAAAGGGTTTTTATGATAAGTTTTTTTCTCTCACCTATTTTTCGATGATATCTACAGAAACTAACTTAAGAAAATTATCCAATTTTAGATAAACATTGAACTGTACAACTATGAATTAAACAAATCTCATGTTTCAGTCTTTTCATTTTTTCCAACGCACGGAGCATAAATACATTTACTGACACACAGACTGTAATATCAATCTTGTAATTTGACAAGGGAATCTTTTCCCGCATCTTTTACATTATTAAGATTATTTAAACTGATTATTATTGCTGGCATAATAAAAAAGAATACCAACCTGCATTATGTAAATAAACACTACAGGTAATATACATAAACCAGCATTGATTCTAAAAAGAAATAAAAAAAATCAAAGATTTATGCAAGTTTATGAAGACAACATGTGCATGATTTATGGCAAAATTGAATTTACAATATTTTTTTCGTTAGTATGAAAAATGAAAAAAATAAAAAAACATAAAATTTAAAGTTCTGTTTGAATTCATATTCATGTTAATATCAAAACTATACATGTAGTTGTACAGCTAATTTAAAAGCTTAACAAGCTATGCTGCATTTCTCGACTTAGCCATCATTAACAGCTTATATTAATTCTAGAAACAATGTAGATGATGAGATCAACTTCTATGAACAAGAACCAGGCTATAAGAAATATGAGGGTATCACAATATTTCGAAACATTTTTTTTTTATCTCATTTAATTTGTTTTCGGAAATCACCGTTTTTTAAGCGTGGGATGAAACAGAATACTGTTAAATTCAAAACAATGGAAATGACCATATATTACCGACAAGATTTCATATTTTTATTGTAAACATACTTAAAGTATATTATATTTAGTATAGAAGTATGAGAATCAAGAACAACAAATAGTTATATTCAATAATCAATAATATCCTTCATTATTGAATTGATAAAAAGATGTCTTAAAGCGGCCTTCACCTTTTATATTCTGTTGGAAAAAACAATTTTGTGTTGGTTTAAACTTAATATTTTAGTAATTGTATGTTGGAAAATTGCATTTTGTCACTTTTAAGCCTTCTTCAATACGGCGTCCAAAGAGCTAATTATAACGCGTCACCGACAATCGTTTCCAAAAATAGCAGATCGGGAAACGAATCGTCCGCTTTACGTAATATTTCAAATAAAGAGAGCGGAGATATCGAAGATTTTCCTTATTGTTTTTGTATTGAATCGTCGGCAAATTTCATTTTCCACCTTAATTCTTTTAATTTGACAATTATATGAAACGGTTTTATGAAGACAACATATTTAACGTTTAAAAAAAGTTGAAGCCACTTTCATGATAATGCTATGTTCACCTGTATAATGTTTTCCAGTCCTGATTTCCATCAAACTTTACACCAATGTCAATGAAAGAGCCTAATACAAAACCAAGTTTCGTCAACAGGAGTGCTTCCATTCTCTTTTTAGTGAATAACTCAAGTACAGGAACCAATGCACCGATTTTCAGTAGACCTATTCCTAACCCTTATGGAAAAACAAAACTGTATTTAGAAATGGCAAACGACAATGCTTTTTGAAAATGTATCTAGTATGTATTGTTTATTTTACTTACAAAGAATTATCTTGAAATGTTAATTAATTCGATCACAGTAAAATTTTACATTTCTTGTATCATTATCTTCTACGTCAACATAATCATTTTTCATTGCTTATCTTATTATTATCGTATTTTCATTTTGTCCACACCCCATATCACACAAAATGTGTGAGTCTTTGAAAAATATGCCCTACTAGAGCATGAAAAAGAGAAAATCCGGGGCTTTGAACACTGGCGTAATACTACATGTATGAATACATTACACTCAACAAACATAGGACGTTAAAAGATGAGGTAACACTTAATACTTTGCACATTAATTTGATTAAACAAACAGTGAATTAGATGATATTAATACAGCGTTAAGTGTCATCTGATTTAACATGATAGGCAGAACTATATACTCATTTTTATGTAATAAAATACTTTTCGTACATTAGATTGAAATGAATTACCTATTGGTCCACATATACAAATCTTCCAGTACCAGACAAAATCCCGCTCTTTAAAAATATTCAGAGTAAAATTGATGTATAATTGTTAAATTAACACATGCTAAATTGTTATACAATATTGTTTTCTTTAAAGTATTCGATGTGTTATGAAGGTATACCACTACTTTCAAATAATATTTCTGAGATAAAGGTCATGTTGATACTATTATGAAAACGTTAATATAGTATAGTATATTTAAAAAAATATCAACAACATTCCATGCAAAATGACCTTAATATCTTCAGCTATGAATATGGTTTTACAAGAACGAGGTGCTGTGTCTATAAGTATAACTTACGTAGTGTACTATCTAAGAAAGACATGCTTGTAAATGAAACACACACAATAAGTGAGCCGACAATACCATTCACCCTGTGACCAAATCTTGTCATCAAAAGCACTCCAACTGGAGCTGAAAGTGGAATGTACATCCGGAAAAAAATCATATCCATAATAAATAATATAATTGATACCAACGAAGAAACATCTAAACATAAAAAAGATAAACATATTAAAGTCATGTAAAAGTCTTTGTCAGTCAAATATAAAACATTGAAACAAGTTAACTTTGCCTGATTGAATAAAGGTTTTAAACCACCGAGGCACTAATGAAATTACATTACTTAACGATGTTTCAGAAGAAGCATGAGATTAAATCTTTGTTGTAAAACTTGCAAACATCAAAAGAGGTAAAAAACTACATATTTACTACCCATAAAATGAACTGAAATATATCCACAAGTAGGATTACAGTAACAGTTCTTAGAAAAAAATATATGCAACCGGTTACTCTGCTATTTGGTTTGATTTTTTCTTATGTTTACACTACAATAATACAATACATAAAAATTACAGAGTTGAGTGGAAAGTTTATAGATTAAGATATAAATAATGTACAAAAGAATTTACCGAAAAAATCTATCATGCTCTTGAAATAGTTATTGACATGTTGTGCTTCTGTTGCGTCCATGGCTAATGTATTCAACAAACTTTGGTCTTGTATTGCCATGTCAACGAATGATTCAATCGTTTGAATGCAAAAATTTATGATAAAGCAAACTAAAACATTTAGCCATAGTCTTCTATTTGAAAAACCTTGTTTCAGCCAAGCCATCAGTCTACAATAAACAGCTTTCTTATCCGTTCCGCTTTTTGTCCTTTTTTTATCGTCTGAGTCCTTGATTTCTTTCTTTCTTTTTGATTTCTTAGAAGCAAGCCCGACGAATGTATTCTTTATTTCACTTTCTGAACTTTTATCAGTGACAGTGTCAATTGATGTTTCGTTATCACAATGGTCAGTATTATTATTATCATCATCATGATCGTTATCGTCATCATGATCGTTATCAACATCATCATCATCAGCATCATCATCATCATCATCATCATCAACAATATCAAACTCTGTGTCCATCATAGCCTAGTAAGTCAAATTATTAATATCATATAAAACATTGACAATGTAGGTTTAAAAACTTTATTCGTGTGCATAAGAGATCTTCTTTAGTAATTATATGTTTCTCATTATTTGCTCTTACACAATCAACTTGGTTCGTTTCATAAATAATTTCATTCATTTATTCATTGATGCTTTCATAATTATCAATTTACATAAATAATTAAAATATTTATTTCATTTATTATAAACATATCTTAATATATCGTAACAGCAAGAATTGAAAGTAAGTAAATTTTCTCCAAAAATGCAATATAAAATATTATAAAGTACAAATAAACAATATTTCACAATTTTCGAAATTGCCACAGCCAATTACTTTCTTACCAGTATTAAGCGTTAAGTTTTGTTCAATATTCTTCACTCATTGATAAATATGCTAAAATGTACCTCTTTTGGTAGAACGCTTATGGTAAAACAACGATCCATTTTATTTTCGTTCATTCACACCAGTGTAAGCTTTAAACAGCTGTGTCAGAGAAGCATTAACTCATTACGTTTACCTGGTATCCTATATGAGTAAATATATAAATCAGTTAAAACAGATAAATTAATAGCGATACAAAATAACCTTTTTGAATTTTTGAAAAATTGAAAAGCATATCGACCTCCCTAATTTTCTCTGAAATTAATTTCGTTTAATCATTTATTTGTTCGCCCTTGATAGTAAACATGCAAAACCTCCTTTCTTTTTCTTTTAATAGTGGAACAAATGAAGATATCGTAAAGGCCCGTGCAAGTTTTGTAATTTACAATTGTTTTAGTTAATGATTAAGTTTGTGCTTCATTCTATATAAATTTTAAACTGTTTCTCATTAAATTTTGATGAAATTTCCAATAAATGCACTGCATTTAGTACTATATTCAACGATTATGATATTGTAAACTCTTCTTCTCTATGTGAAATATCGTAAAAATACTAAACAACTAGTTATAAAAGTATTGAAGAGGCGATGACAAAGAGGAAGTAGTATTTCTAGGAATAAAATGGCAAATAATAAAGAAGTTAATTAAGCCTGTTGCCGAATTGTACTAATAATAAAATGAGATAAAACACAAAAGTGCTGACTCAAGCTTCTTTTTAGAAGTAACGAGTCCTAGCTAGCTATTTTATGATTTATTGCCTTTGCTCTCTTCAACACCTAATATATCAAATGCCGTATCGACTAAATTGCGAGTACAATATGTCTTTTTATCTAAATAAAAAACTCTTGACCAAATACTTTTTTTCAGGAAATACCAGTTATAAATAACAATGTTTGCAATCAAATCTATAACATTGGCTTGCACTTAAAAGATAGATACGGGTAGTTACAACATAACAACATGGTGTACAAGTGTACCGTGGCATAAAGGTGACATGTGTGTGTTTTATTTATATCGTGCGCACGAGATACTATGTCGTGAGCACGAGATAGCTAAGTCGTGGCCACGATATACTATGTCGTGGTCACGATTTACTAAGTCGTGGTCACGAGATACTAAGTCGTGGCCACGAGAGATAGCTAAGTCGTGGCCACATGAAACTATGTCGTGGCCACGAGTTACTAAGTCGTGGCCACGAGAGATAGCTAAGTCGTGGCCACGAGATACTATGTCGTGGTCACGAGCTACTAAATCCTAGCCACGAGATAGCTAAGTCGTGGCCACGAGATACAATGTCGTGGCCACGAGTTACTAAGTCTTGGGAACGAGATAATTAACCAGTCAGAATACACTATATATATTATGAATTTTTTAAACTTAACAACTTACTTTAACATGCAACATTAATCTTTGAAAATACTGAAGATATTCATTTTGAACTTGATACATTAATTTTGACTCTAGCCCTTTGTTGGGACAATTTTTTGATCGAATTGGTCAGTTTGTACGTACTACGGCCTTATTTATACGATAACATGAGAAGGAATAAGTCCTGGTTTATTTTATTGGAAGGGACCTTGCACATGGACAGTAGATATCCTATAAGGATGTTTGAAATCAAAGGTCAAGGCATGACACTTCATTTTTAATCATTGTCTGTTGAATAATTTAGAAGGGATAAGCCATGGTTTATATAACCCAGGATGATCATTGCACCTGATCAGTAGATGACATGTTATAATTTCGAGGTCATTTGGTCAAAAATCAGAGTCACAGTGACGCTAAATGTAAAATTATTGACCAGTCAATAAGTTGTATAAATGGCACTTTTACAGACTGGTGGAGTAGGGTCATCCTTGAACTATAGCACATGTCTAGTTCATTAGGGAAATTTATATAAATGGTGTAATCTGATTGGTTATTTATCTCGTGGTCAAGACTTAGTAACTCGTGGCCATGACATAGTATCTCGTTGCAACGACAGTGTATCTCGTTCCGACGACATAGCTATTTCGTGGCCAAGACTTAGTAACTTATGGCCACGACACAGTATCTCGTGGCCGTGACTTAGTATCTCGTGACCACGACATAGTATCTCGTAGCCATGACTTAGCTATCTCGTGGCCACGACTTAGTAACTCGTGGCCACGACATAGTATCTCGTGTGCACGAGATAACACACATGTCTACTTTGTGCCACCGTTCAAGTGGCAGTTTATTAAGCTTTTTTAAATTTTCAATCCGATGATTACCGTAAGTGATCGATAATAAAATTACTAAGGTTTAAGCATTTTAACAAACGTGACTTGAGGTAGATATGTATAGATTTTACTTAAGCACTTTTGTTTGATATAAACTTAATATATTATTTTTACCTAGTTTATCATTCTAGTTTACAATTAGGTTACCGATTTATCAAGTGGAACCCTGGTTTGCTAAGTGTCATTTAAGATACATATATAGGAAAACCAATATCGATACAATACCTGATATTAAAATTTCTTTTTAATAAAATCTAATAGTATATTAAAGGCCTTTTATGCCTTCAAATATTCCATCATTTTTATTTCTCAAAAACATTTTATCTTTGGTATCTTGACACAGATACAAAAATTAAAGCACGAAGGCGCTGAATTTGTTTTGGTCTCAGAATGTCAGAAAAGTGAAGGTTGTGAGATGTGTTTTTGTATAAATCCACCAATGCTGTTTCCAGTGTTATAAGTGTAGTAAATTGGCTATGAGGCTAATTGCAACGCTGAATTTCAATGCAATGTTTATGTGGCTTAATCAATTTAAAAAAGTAAAAAAAAAATAAATAAAAAAAAAATACAAAACAAAAACATAAATTGCCTCAACTTGGATTTGAACTACCGACCTCTCACTTCTCAACAAGCGTGTAACCCCTCGACCACGGGATAGTTATAAGATAACATCCTGAAGAAAACCACATTATTCTGCATTTTTGTGAGGTTATGCCTCCCCAATGTTAAGACTGTTCATCAAACCTTCCTGTCGCGGTAATCAGGTCAAAAAGTAGTATCTTTATAGTTTATAGCTGACTCATCACTTATCACCGTTATTTACAAGTTAAAACAAGTTTTTATTCTTTACCATCATAGCTATTTGTAAGGTTTATAATTCTCAGAGAAACGCTTGGTTTAGACGTTTTCTAAATTTTAAAATCACTACTTACGTTTACTGCGTCGTTAAATCGGTCATGCATCGGTCATAAATAGTTTTGATACATGTACTTTTAAAGGTATAGATAAAAACGAAAGAAAAGGGGGATATCGATACTGCAAATGCAAATTTTGTTATTTACTTCCGCTTTAGTTATTGATTCGGTTTGTGGTTGATTCTATTAGTTTGTATACTATTCTGATTCTTGCATAAAGCTGCTCACGTAAGAGTACATAAATAAGTAAGAAATCATGCAACGACAGATAAAATCACGCGGGAACGCGCCGACGTTTGCACATTTTTTTCTTAATGTACGTGACTCAGGGTGACAGGTAAAAATAACTTACTGCAATGACAGCCCCGGTATTTCATTATCAAAATATAACTGTCAAATGTCATCGCGCTTACATATGAAAAGCATGACGAGACAGGTTTCTTTATATGAAAACCAATTATCGAAACGCGAAATTAGCGAATCAGACGTATAATTTCATTTCATGTTTGCGCATTAATATCTGCAGAAGCCCTCGGACTTATTAAATTCTCCCAACTGCAGGTTCTGGCTTTAAATACATGTACGTCAATGTGCTTCTGCAGAGGTTTTATGATTGTACAAAAAGGGACATACTAAAGAAACAATATATGAAAGTATTGAAGAGGCGATAACAACGAGGAAGTTGTATTTCTAGGAATTAAAATGCAGCCAGATAATAACACAAATGTGCTAATTCAAGATTCTTTTCAAAAGGAATGTATCCTAGCTATTATATAATTTATTGTTTTTGTCCCCTTCATCATCTAATAAATCAAATAACGTACAGACTGAAGTACATTATGTAACTCTTCACTAAATATTATTAAGGAGACACAAGTTATAAAATTACAATGTTTGTTATCAAATCTGCAACATTGTCTTGTTATATTGTACTTAACTGTATCTGGTATATTTAAAAGATACAAACGGATAGTTACAACAAGACAACATGGTTTACAAGTGTCATCTATAAGGCATTTCTTAAATGTCCAATCCTGTAACTCCGATAATTTTATAACTGAGATTTGACGCATTGTAACAACCACGTTAAATGTGTTATTTTACCTTAGTTATTATATAGATTTGACTGAAGCAGATTTGTTTGATACTTTTAACCGTTGACAATTGATCACAAATAGATAGTGATCTCCTGGATTGTAAATCCACTTTATTGTCAGTTAAAAGATCTTGCAAAACAAATATCTATATAAAAATTGACAATGAAGTATCTTTTCAAACTAAATTGGATATTAAATTCAGGACCCAATGCATATCATGATATTTATTGGCTCATTAAAGGCGAGCATGCTATCTTTTCAATTTTGTAGTTGTGACCTTTTCATAAGGGTTCTATTCCTCCATATTATAAATTGGATTATTTTCTTTGTTCTATTTACCAAAAGCATGCCAAGAGCATAGTTATTTGGCATGTAGCATAAAATTCTGGTCATCTACAAAAGAGTGCTGACAAGTTGCCATATATATGTCAGAAGACAAATTAAAAAAAAACAGGGACCATATCTTGATGGTGGTTGCACAACTATTCAAGTAGGATTATTGGAACCCCTTGAAAAGAAGAAAACTTTGATATATTTTTAATATAAAAATGAGAATAAAGATCAACAAGAAAAGGCGACGGTCACAGATCGCAGTCCTCAATACAAGCAGTACACACAAGCAAGGCACTAAGAAGGCACCGAATCAAACGGGAGAGGACATATGGGCGATATAAGGACGAGAGGGACATGTAGTAAATGAAATGATAAGAGCTTAAAGGACCGATCGGGAACTAAAGAGTTTGGGTGTAAGGAAAAAAAAGGACACATAATGGGTCAAAAGGGTAAATGGAAAGAAAAAACCTACCGCTGACGACAATTAAATGGGGCTCCAATCAGGTCAAAAAGCCATAAAATTTTACATTTAGCAATGCA